AAAATAATATTGGCATAAATTAAATATCGGCCAGACTTTGACCCTTTATGATAGAAAACAAATCGAAGTAGTGTAGAAAGAGAAAAATAAAAAGAGAGAGAGAGAGAGAGAGAGAGAGAGAGAGAGAGAGAATTTCGATGGGACGAGAAACGCATAATGATCGTGATAATAATGATCATAACGATAAAAGAACAAAGCATCGTGAATCGAATTGATTAAGAATGGCAACTAAGGTCCTTTAACCGTTCGCCTTTGGTGCAAATAATATTCGTGATCGGTCTGAAGTCACACAACCATGCGACGGGCACACCCTGTATGCGGAGGAAACTGCACCGAATGCGGGAGCGAACGAAAGAGAGAGAGAGAGAGAGAGAGGCAGACAAACGCACACAGAAGATATAGCGACGCAGTGCACGTCCCGAAGTGCGCGTCCTTGAAATTCCAAATCGGCTCACCGTAAATGCGACGTATAGGATCTATGCAAATCAAATTGCCGAAACGCGTCTGAGTAGACTCCGCCAGCACTCGCAAATTATCGTCGCGATGATAATGTCGCTCGACGTAGCTTTAATGTCCTCTCCTCTATCTCTCTCTCTCTCTGTCTGTTTGTCTGTCTGTCTGTCTGTCTGTCTGTCTGTCTCTTTCCCTCTTTCTTTTTCTCTATTTCTCTATTTCTCTCCCCCTCCACCATTATTTATTTCTATAATTCCATCTCTTTTTCTCTTTTCATCCGTTCGTTGTGATTAATTAATATTTAAGATTTTTACGAGGATCGAATGTCGTGTGAGAAAAAAAAAAAAGAAAAAAAAGAAAAAAAGGTGGAAAAAAGGAAGAAAAAAAGGGAAAAAAAGAAGAGGAAAGAAAAAGAAAAAGAAAGAAGAAATGTTAAACGTCAATCTTGCCTTATCTTTCTCATCGTGAGAAATCTGATCTGACGTATTTTCGACAATTCTCCTTTTATCCTCATCACGATTCGTCGTAATCATCATTGTCCGTCCATTAAAATAATCCGTCGAATTTTTTTTTTGGCATTTTTTTTTTCTTTTTTTATAACCGCGATTGATCTCTATCTCCTTTTCTTTTTTTTTTCCTTTGTTTCTTTTCTCTCTCTCTCTCTCTCTCTCTCTCTTCGTCGCCTCATTTCCAATCGCGATCAACATATTACATCTCTGCAAATTATAGAATACTGTTTGCTAAATGTAGAAGACCGTTAGCATCGTGTAGACGTAACTAATGAATAAAAAAGCACGAGAGAGAGAGAGAGAGAGAGAGAGAGGGGGAGAATAAATACGAATAAAAAGAAAAAAGAAAAAAGAAAAAAGAAGAAAAAAAAAGAAGTTACATACTATACTATACTATATTATCGTAGAATACGTAATATATCGTGTAGAACGTGTTACGCCTGCGAATCGTATCGTTATGGGAGATGCGTCCGGCCTTGCGAACTCGCTATCTTGGATAGATAAAAGGAGAAACGTCGGTAGAGGAAGAGGAAAAGAAGAAGAAGAAGAAGAAGAAGAAGAAGAAGGAAGAGGAGAAGAAGGAGGAAGAGAAGGAAGAAGAGGAGGGACGTGCACCTGCGCAATTTAGACGCGACATTTCCTTGAAAAAAGCATGAAATCGACTATATTACACGGACTACTCCCGACTATTCCTGAATCGCTCACCTTTGCACGAATAATAATAATAATAAAAAAAAAAAAAAAAAAAAAAAAAAAAAAAAGAGAGAGAGAAAGAAAATAAAGAGAGAAACAAAAATGAATAATTCGAAATCTAGAAAGAGAGAGAGAGAGAGAGAGAGAGAGAGAGAGAGAGAGAGAGAGTGAGTGAATACATAATATATATAAAGATATTATCTATATTTTATATCATATGTATAAAATATTTAATTGTTAAATTATATTATAAATATAATATACACATACATATACATATATATACATATAATACTAATCTACAAATTATTATAATATATTATCATATTACGTAAACAAAAATATATCAATCTATTTAAGAAAAAAGAATCATCGATGACTTTGGATATACATATTAACAAAATGACC